CGTATATCACGGCCTATAAGGCGGCGGGGTGCATAAGACGCCCCCCCAAAATTCCATTTAAAAAGTAGCTTTTGAGCTCTATTTGCTGTATAAGACCAGTACCCCAAATGTGACACTTACCCACTGACTCAGTAGTCCTTTACCAACCATCCTTGATTTTTTAAAATAAGGCCAATTCACTTCAAGTAATGTCATCAAATTATACCCGCTGGTGTAGTGTAAACACTAGTGACGTCACTGAAGCGTGGTGGGAGTGTTCCCTCGTCTCGGTGGTGTGACTATTTATACAACATGTGGTTCAACAGCAACCACCGTATTCTAATTGTGGTGTTTCATTAGGATTTGAGTGAAAAAGGTTACCAGTATGTACTTACTACATACATTTATTACACATATATATATATATATATATATATATATATATATATATATATATATATATATATATATATATATATATATATATATATATATATATATATATATATATATATATATATATATATATATATATATATATATATATATATATATACTGAATATACTATGTACAAAAAATGAATGTTCAATGAATTATTTATGGTGCATTAGGGTACTGGTCACTTCTGATGGGCTATAAATAGCCTTCTTTATCTCCCCTACATCTCACCCTGAGCCAGACGGAAGGGTCTTGGTAAATAACATGTTTGCTTATTTTCCATTTACTTTAAATAGATTTACCGAATTATTTGTTTTATTTATTTATTTATAATATACTGTAATATATTAAACACACTGTAATTATTTTCTTTAATTTATAAACTGTTTTGCGACAAAGGAATGTTCTCCAGTAGTGTTTCATTAGGATTTGAGTGAAAAAATATTACGTACTTACACAATTGTTCCTCTTACTTTGACAACACAACATACATACAGTATATTATTTCTCAGTTTTGATCTTTTTTTTTTAATTTTTGTATTTATTTATAGTTAGTTACTTAAAATAAGGCCAATTCACTTCAAGTAATGGCATCAAATATTACCAGCTGGTGTAGTGTAAACACTAGTGACGTCACTTGAGCGTCTGTAATTAACCGTCGATAGTTTCAAGAATTAATGCACTCATTTACTGAATATTCTTTGGAAAAAAATAAAATTTAAATCAATTATTTATAGGAGATAAATATTATTATGAGTAAATATACCGATACCGGTATGCATTACTGACCACCTCCACGGCTCCTCACTGGCAAATGGGGGGGGGGGCGTGGGGAGGGGTGTGTGATGATAGCTGTGTTTATTATAGGGGTATAAATCTCTTTTACGGTATGTTAGACAGGTTTATAATACATTTTTATTATTTTAATATACCGGTAATCTTAATTTGAATCCAGCTTGCCAAACGTAAGTTTCAGTATAAAATAATTAGTGGTAAGACCTTGTGAGTGGCTTACGATGTTTTCATCACCACTCTTGACACACTAAACCACAATATTTAAGAGGTAAGAATTTTAAACTTGGTGGTTTAGACGACCCCCTAACTTTGGGCAGATTTTTTTAATGTTCAAATTTCGTCTTATAGGCCGTGATATACGGTACATTAAACCTTTGATAACTCGGCATTTGATAATTCGTTATTTAATATAACTCGGCATGGATGTGGTCTCGGAATGTATTAGTATAACTCGGGAAATGCCGTGATATGTAAAATTATCTGGGAAAATCTCGGCATATCTGGCCACCTGCAACACCTAACATGCCTCTGTGTCACCTACCATGCATCAGTGTCACCTACTATGATGTTCAGTCTTCGCCTGCAGTGCTGATAACTCTTACTTTTTTACATTTATTTATTACCTGTACACATATGGGTCAAAAAAATTTATTGTTTTATTTTTGTAGGAGGGGGAAGTGCCTCAATAAGTCGAAATTTGGGATAACTCGGCAAGGCCAGAGCCCCATACCGGGTATGTGTCGAGCTATCGAGGGTTTACTGTACAGTAGTTTTTTGGGCAGTATAAATACTGTTTTTTTTTTTTTTTAACCATTCATGTCATCTTATAACTTAAGTGATTACCCCCAAAGCAAGGAGGAAAAAAATATATAATAAAAAAAGACTTGTACTGTAGGTCATAAGATAAAAAAAAAATGAAGTACAAAATCTCATTCTTTGCCTGAGGGAAAGAAACAAGTGACCTGCATGCCCACCCTCCTCCCTAGGAATGTTTTGTTATTAGTAGAAAAATATGAAGTGTGAAGTTTGGAACCCAAGTTCAAGACAGAAGGGTTTAGTTCAGTAAACTGGCTCCAGAGTCTGTCCCACAGTAGCTGTCATTCTGCTACATTCTCCGAGCACAGATGGAGTTTTCTAGCTTTCTTTATAGACCTGTTTACCTGGATAAGTAGCTGTTTATGCAGCAAATTATATAGAATGTAGAAAGCTCCCAGGAATAAGCAGGCTCTGTAAGGGTATGTTCTATTGGAGTGATTCTCACAGGTGAGTTTTTTATTTATCTCAGTCATGAAATGAAATGGATTTAATTCTTCTACAGTATAGTTACTTTATTTAACTTGAACTAGCAGTGTTATATTGATTACAGTATACTAATTTTATGGACAACATAGTAAAATAAAGTTGTGCAGTAAATCATAAGCAATTACAGGGGCAAATCCAGGAATATCAAAGGGGGGGGTCCAAGAAGTTGTGGGTGGGGGAACATGTTGAGCACAGCGAGCCCACCCAGTGTTTGTTTTGAAATCTGACCAATATCATTGGCATTTTTAGGCCATTTTGAAGCCATATGCACTTGATATTAGGAGATATTCTGAGGTCAATAGTAATTACTTTTCACTATACAAAAATGCCTGAATACAATAACTGCATAAAAGAAAAAGTACGTATTGGAATTTTCTGATGAAAAGGAGTTCTGGATCCCCAGGGAACCCCCCCCCCCTGCATCTGCACCTGGATTACTATTATTTTAAAAATACAATTAAGATATATCTTAATCTTTTCTGAAGGAACTATAATGTACCACATTTTGTCTAGTTGCAATGATATAAAATTGGTATGGTGTGCAGATATTAAAATTCTTTGAATACTGGTGAACTACAGCTACCCCTCGACTTACGACCGCCCCAGTCGTACCAAAATTTTTTCAAATTACGTATTTTCGAGTCCCGACATTAGTGATTGCGCTGTGTACTGACAAAATTTTTGTTTGTAATTCCCTTTAAAATGGTTGGCATGCTTAAAAGTGAGAGTTTTGTGGTGCTGAGAAGAAAAAGAGACACCCATTTTAGATTTTCTATGTATAATCTTCGTATTTTCGACTTACAACCTGGATTTGGTTCAAACTAACCCTGCCGTAAGTCGAGGAGTGGCTGTACTTAGAGATGTTCTGTATATACGTATAGTATAAATGATTTTGACTTTTGCATTCATCAGGTGCAATGTTTGCCAGTTTGCTCTACATTGTGATGAGTGTTCGGTTGTATGAGATTCATGTGTCTCTCATTCTACTGGCATCATTCATCACTGGGATCAGTGGAGGCTTCACCTCATGTATCATGACATGCATGAGTTATGTGGCACAGGTAAGCTTTTATTAGATTATACCAAGTAAAGTGAAAAAGGGGGATTTCAGAAACTACAAATAGAGTACTGTATACATATTCAGAAGATGTTGCTTTGCGGATCAGAATTTTGAAGGTTTAATATTACAGTATTCATAGATGTAAGGTTTAGCTTTTTTGATGAACTAACCATGAAAATTTTGCTGGTACATTGCTCTTGGGTTGTGGAAAGCTCCTATTGATTTTGGGATTAAGAGAATCAAAGGACAAGGTCACTTGTGCTACCTAGAATGTGGGGGTATTAGTTTGCCACAGGCATACACATCTAGTGTTATTTATAATGACTTCTGAAATCCAGAAATCAGCTACTGTTTATGGTAATATCAGGAAACCAGAAAACTGGCACCTTTAAGAACTGCAGCATTACAGAAATGTAAAAATTCAAAAGAAATCAATTCCTTACTCATGGCAGCAGCCACACACGTCTCTTGAGACAGCTTGGTGACTGCCCGGCTGAACTGTGTTGCATGTATACTGTACAAATTATTTCAACAATATAATACAGTAATAGGGACTCGATTCTTTTATGAAAAAACATAAGAAATATTGATAAGTACTGGAGTTTATAAAATCAATTCTATTCAAGTTAGAAATACCATTTTTTACCAAAGTAATCATGAAGAGCTTATCTAAAAGTTTGGTTAAATAAATATTAAAAAAAAAATCTATAAGATATGGGCATGCGAGGCGTGAATGGAGCTATGTGTCACACCAAAACAGTAGAATTTTCCATCCTGCACTGGGGAAATTTTCCCAGAGCCTAAGCAATGCATCTCTCACTGAGCTGTATTTATTTTTGCAAACACCTCTGTGCATGTGTAATATACTGTAAATAAACAAAACCATGTACTGTATACTCTTACTGTACTAAATATACTGTACTGCACTCACCAGCAGATGCTGTCGTCTTGAGCCTACATTTAGGTTGGCATACACTGTCCACTCTGCTGAATGTAATATGTAACTGTAATAACTTTTTGCATCTTAACACTTGCGATGGAGGTTGTTTGGGGATTAGTGGGTCTCATGTTACTGATTTGACCTGATGCAATGTCAGGTCACCTATTGTTTATAAACTCTTCTCTCATTTGCAGTGGGGGTAGGGTGGTGGATTAGTGGTCCCATATTACTGACCTTCTGATGCAATGTCAGGTCACCCATTGTTGGGGTGGAGGATTAGTGGTTCTCATGACCTGAAGATGTATTGAATAAAGACGAAAGCTAAGGTGCTTCAGTGTTTCCCACTTACTGAATGTACAGAACAGTATACATAACTATAATCACTTTTTACATTTGTAACACTGTATTCTTGGCTGGTAGTGTCCTGGTACAGTAATGTACAGTACTGCACAACACAAATTGTACGTACAAATAGCAATTAACAAGGGAACAATCTTTTACAATGGCAGCAGCATATGAACTGAGCGATCCAAGCAGCTAGGCCAACCACGCGCTTGGCACATGGGAACGTGCCGGAGCATGAAGCAATCTCTCGGAACTCCAAGAAAATTTGTTCCCACACCCAAAATGGAGAGGTTTTCTATGAATTTTTCAGGAAAATGTGTCTGACTTTCATTTTCGAAAACTTATTCGCAGACCAGGAATGGAGAGAGTTTTCCCAGATTTTTTCCGGCCCAATTTCCATTCCGGTTATTACTGAGTTCCAGGGATCAGGGATTCTGTCTAACAGTAACAGGGAGATTACTGATGCTAGATGGTTTTTGAACCTTCCAGAATAAATTTAGCGTGATTTAGCGAGTGACGAGCATACTCGTCTCAACCCACACAGGACGTTTCTTATTGGACGATAATACCTTTAATCGCCTAAGCCCTATAGGGGTTAAATATTTGAGTATCTGGTGTGCTTGTACTGAAAATACAGAAGTAATTTTTAAGATACAGTTCAGTATATATTAGTATTTCTTAATAAATTGTACAGGAGGGAAAATTAGTGTGTGTTCCTAATAAACCCAATGTGGCAGTACTGTTTCCTAATAAACCCAATGTGGCAGTACTGTATACAGTCAACCCTCACTTTACGCGGTTAATATAACCCACAGGGTACCGCGGAAAGTGAGAAACGCGTAAAGTGAACAACATAACATATGGGATTAATTGAAATAGAGACCGGGCCGACCCCCAAACTCCACATTTTGACGACACACAACTATGTTGTAGTAAAAATTTTATCTTAACTTTATGATGGTATACACACACAATTAATATAGAAGAGGTTAGGTTAGGTTAGGAAAAATAAAGGTTAAGTTAGGAAAAATAAAGGTTAGGTTAGGAAAACTAAAAGTTAGGTTGAACACTTACGTTAGTAGAAGAGATGGGTCGGCATACGGGGATGGAGGCTGATTCCGAGGCAGAGGGCAGGCTACTGGCCCTCAGGTGAGTCACCATCACTGTCATCCACACTTGTCAGGGCCTCCCTGACAAATCCCTCAAAGTCATCTTCACTGTCTCTACCTCTGTCACTATCACTGGCTTGGGCTGGCTGTGGTGGGTTGCGGGCAAAGAACTCTGTTATGCTTTGCTGACGGCTGGTGTTTATGTTGTCGTGATAAACCTTGAAGTAGGGCTCCATAGTCTGCAACAGCTGGGTAGTGAAGATTTCATACCTGTTTGCGTCAGGGTCGTCAAAGGAGGAGCTTGATTTTCTCGATACACTCGATGGCACCCCTAACATTACTATGGGATAAGCGGTGTTCTTCTTGGGATGACGCACCACCTGCCTCTTCACTAACGTCATCATCATCTGCCATCTCGTCGGTAGTCATATCAGGATCCCTTTTCACCTCCAGGATGTCGTCATTGGTGGTCTCGGAGAAGCCTGCAGCTGTAACACTCTGCGCAGCTTCTCTGGCAAGGTCCACTGCTACTGCAACAGTCTGAACCTCACCAGTCACAGATTGACTCTGCCTAACGGCCGGAATGCCTTGCAACACATGTCTCCATGCGTGACGAACAGTTGCTACAGACAGCTGATCCCATGCTTTCTTGATGTTGAATATTCTCCAGAATTGTTTGAAAAGTATTTTTTGCTCTGCCAACTGTTGATCCTCGTCGTCTTCACTCTTGCTATCGGTGGTGGTGTCACTCAGGTTACGCAACTCTTCCCTGGTGTTGGTGTAGTCGTTCAGGAGCTTGAATTTTTTTGTTGAGAATGCAGCTTTTACATTACAGATTAACTCTTGGCCCATGGGCTGTAATATAGACGTAGTGTTGGGAGGAAGGAAGACCACTTTTACGTTGTTGGTGACGATCTAACAGTAGGGGCGAGTGTCCTGGTGCGTTGTCCAGCAGCAACAAAATCTTGAATGGCACATTCTGTTGCTCACAGAATTTCTTTACATCGGGAACGAAACAGTCATCAAACCAGGAGAGGGACAGTGTAGAGAACATCCAAGCCTTACGTGCGGTCAGCCAGTGGACATTTAGCTTGGTCATGTCCATGCTCTTGTAGGCGTGCAGCTTGCGGGCTGTGTGGATCACCGATAACTTGAGCTTACAGGTACCGGAGGCATTGGTGGTAAACAGGACGGTGATGCGCTCCTTCTGCAACTTCCGGCCCCGAATCTTGCTGGCATTCTTCACAACGAAGGTCTTGGAAGGTAGCTTTTTCCACAAAAGATCAGATTCGTCCATGTTAAACACCTGGTCGTTGGTGTACTGTCCTTCCTCCATAATCTCACGTAAAAACGGAGGAAATTCCCTAGCCACAGCACGGTCAGCACTAGCTTCTTCACCACCAATGTTGATATTGGTGATCTTGTTCCGCATCTTAATCCTCTGTAACCATGAATCGGCTGCTTGTCCAATTAACCAGTCCGTTCACATATATTTATATTTGGGTTTTAAGTAACGAAACCCAAACGGTAGTTCCTTTGTTTTATTATAAAAGGTTGTATATATAATTCCTGAGTGTATATCAACCGTAAGTCTCACTGTCTAGGAGTGAATGAGAAGGGGACGGCGTTTATGTATAATAAACGTTAGGTCACGTCCTTACGATATGAGTTGAGGTGAGCTACTGAAGCTTAAGGGCATCGCAGTGCGTGCTTACAGAAATGCTGAGCTATGGGTCTCGCCCTCTTGGGTGAGTTGCCCGCTCACGTGTCCATATCATGTCTTACTCATAGACAGTGGAAAGTTACAGGGTGGTGAATCTGAATATAATATCAGATGTATTGACCCATTTATATAATACGTTCTGTTGATGAGACAGGGGCCTATTACATCGCTCGGTCACCTACCAGCCGAGCTCCGTGAGGCCTAAATAACTCACAGAGTACAGTACATCCTAGACAACCCTAACCATGTTATAAACAGATATGTAGACACTAAGCTGGGGAAATTACTGTAGGGGTATTCTCTACTACAGGGGACCTAGACTTTTGTGTCGTACGGGTTAGTATGTTATGAACAATGTTGAATTTGGATGATACTGCCCTGTAATAACAGAACAGGAACATAATTGCCAGTATTAACAAAATAGAGGGAATCGTAAGACTTGGTAGTGCAAATTCCCGTGACAGGTAAAATGGCAAGTTATTATTCAAATCAGCAAAATGTGTCTCGTTCAAGAAAGCTAAAACTTTTAATTTCTCTGATACTATTTGAATATCCTTGATAGTGAAATTCATTATAGGAAGTGGAATTAAAGCAGACTTGAGTTTTCGATTTAACGCAAAATGCTGATGAGTAGGCAAGGTCCGTAATGTACTACAAGTGATTTCACAGTAATCAGGAGCCTTGTAATGCCCTTTCACAACTAGCTGCTTAACACCATTTTGGCATTTTAAAATTACAGTAGTGAGATTTGGAAAGAACAAATACTGCACATTGTGAAGGTGAGCGTGGAACACAGTCTTTAGACTAACTGGCCTATAACTGCATTGCGCTAACGCTGTGCGTACATTTGGTTGTATGACTGCCAATTCACATATTCCCTCTGC